TTTTACTGCATTTTTATGATTGTTGATTTTAAATAAACCTGTACTAATATCTTAATTGGGCCAGTTTTTTCTTTTGTTGTTGTTATTATCATATTATATTATATCATTATTATTATTATTATTATTATTATTATTATCATTATTATTATTATTACTAATATCATTATTATTATGATTATCATTACCATTATAATTATCATTATTAATACTACCATAAATATCCATTTCTGTATTTTTTAACAACGAGAAAGCATATTGGGCCACTACTGCAATAAGGGGTATATAATTATAATGTTATTCTACTGACAGTTTTGAAATGTAATAACTCACATAAAATTACATGCCTTCATGTGCTTTTGATGTGTTAGTTATATACATGTATACCAATATTTTCATAATACACAAGCCCAGTATACGGCTTCATGCATTAGACTAAAATAAAAATAAGTATAATATTCGTCCTTTATTATCTAGCATAGATTACAAAGTGTGGATTAGCTCAAAGCAAATCACACGATTTATATACTAAAGCTTCCCGACCTCAGAACGGTGACTGCTGCGGCATCTCTCCCAGTCAGACATACAGTTCAATTAATATCATCTCCATTCCAGGTGTTATTAATACGCCCATGCCACGGTGAGCGTGATATCTGTTCTACTCAAAATTTATGGATGCCGATTATCTGATTATAGAAGAACATTCATTAGTATCGTGGATTAAATTCTGAATATAATTTTGTTAATAAAATCAAGATAAGGATGTTATCACTTGAAGGTCGACGCAAGTTTTGTATTCCGTGATCGCACCAACTGTTATTCACTTTGTTATTCTCACACATAATTCCGCAAATACAATTGGCCACAAAAATAACACACAAACACACCGATACAAATGGCCACACAAAGGGTAAGCCACAGAGAGGAATGGATATAAAGTCATTCTCTTTGATGTGTCTAAAAATGTGGAAATATTGCTTTAGTGACGGAGAATTGAAGGATAGCTAAAAAGGTGCACATAATTGGAACGAAAAGTAGAACAATAAGAACAGCAAAATATAATATGACTTTTAATCTGTTAAAAAAAATCATAAGATTGTCACTAGTTAATGGATTAAAACATGCGATAAAAGGAAAGGTAAATCAATTAACAAAATATCGAACTTATGTCCTCGACGGGGGGGGGGGGGGGAGAATTCGGAAATCATCGCACTCAAACGCACGCCGGCACGCACACCCGCAAGCACACACGTCGGAACACGGAATAACAACAGAAAACATTAAGAGATAAGATACAACGTCCTCTCCACCTCTGCAGCCTGTCTGAGTCACCATGACATCTGCTCAGATAAATGATTAACTACAGATAAAATATGCTGATAGCAAACATACGACTCCCTCTTATCTACAATGAATAGAATTTACTTGTCAACTTCGTGGTAAATGCCGTCAACGCGTTCAAAACATCCAAAATAAATGAAACTCCTTTAAGGGTATATGTGGCTCGGGGCCTCTCGAAGATGCTTCATCCGAGTGACGATGCCCGTGGAGTGGACGGAGAGGCTAAGGGCCTGGGCAGATGAGGCTGGTCATCTCCAGGAAGTATTCTGACCTAGGGCATGAACCTAGGACAATCTCAAGGAGCATGTGATAGAAAGTCTTAGTTTTCCCTTGGCACAATAAAAAAAAAAAAAAAAAAAAAAAAAAAATACAGTACCACTTTACTAGATTGTGCGTTTGAACTTGCATTGAATTTTGGGCCGGTTGTGGGAAAGACAAAATTGCCATGGATAAGGACCACATGTAAGGGTGCTCATCATTGTTACTACTTCTCAACAATAGTAATCTGTTGCTGTTATAGGTATTAGAGATAATCCAGCCAGTTAGCCAGTCTGCAGGAAATTCGTATGAAAATTCCCTAATTCAAAACTACACAAGCTGAGATCATGGATGCTTCAACATGGTAGGGGAGAACTCGAATCCCCATATCCGAATGGTAAATACTAACAGCTTTACAGTCTGGGATCAAGTTGCCTGTTGGTTTATTCTATAAGGAATGCCGGCTAACAGGATCGGAGACCTTATTCAAACATGGAAAAAAGGTCACAGAAGAATAAAATAATGATAAAATGAAGTGTAAAACAAGGAATAAGATTGCTTAAAAGAAATTTTAAATAGACAACGGATAAAATTCCTAAAGCAAGCACCGAATCACATGACACAGCTCAATTAGGAATATAAATGTAGGTGGTGAAAAATATCTGACGCCCGAAAATGTTGCAGCCATTTGTAAGCATCAACAGGATTTTCCGGTTCAAATAACTGAGTTGATAGCATGCTTTAAGGCGCGTATTCGACGAGAAAAACAAGCTAGCTATGGATAGATTTGATTTGCTTATTTTTGCCGAATTCGAACTTTGCTTACTATTATAAACAAACCACCGCAGTGTGTGTCGACTCGTCCCTTTTCATAGTGAGTGGCAGGGTTAATCGTGGAAGAAAGCACTCACTCTTGGTAATGATAATGGATTCACCGGCGAGGGAATCAGTCCTCACCTTAGTTTTGTGCTAACCGAAGAAGATAAAAGATATACGCATGATTTTTAAAAAGATAACATTTCATGTAGAATAAACAGAATTAAAAATAATTATAATAATAACAAATGAAAAAATAACAGGCTTCAGGAAAGCAAATTAATAAGATAATGACTGCTACGCATAACAAAGATATGTCTTTCCAACTGCGAGTTTAGAATGGAAATATTAAAATTGAGGAACACCACGTCTCGGGCATCCCCAGGTTAGCAATAATGTAGTTGTAAGTGGATTAATACTTATATTCCTGGGCAGTGATTCCCAATCCTATGGTCGCGACCCAATTAAGGGTCACACATTTATGGTTGTCTTTAGGGTCGAACCCAAAGCCACTCCAGTTACTACTTCTGGTCAGCACAGAAATGATCACAACTTATTAGTTTATGATATCATTTACTGGCGACAAAATAAGTAAATTAGCGAGAGAATTTCTGTCGGTCATGTTGGCGGTTTGTTTACTTTTCTGACGTCATGAAACGGTATCAACATCCCAAGAGGTGTGTATGTTGTGTGTGTGTGTGGTGTGTGTGTGTGTGTGTGTGTGTGTGTGTGTGTGTGTGTGTGTGTGTGTGTGTGTGTGTGTGTGTGTGTGTGTGTGTGTGTGTGTGTGTGAATGTACGTATGTATATATATGTGTGTGTATGCGTGTGTGTGTGCACATCTCTTAACACACACATGAATGTATGTATAAAATATATGCACGCACACACACACTCAAACATATATATGTATATATTATATATATAATATATATATATATATAATATATATATATATATATATATATATATATATATATATATATATATATATATATATATATATATATATATATATATATATATATATATATATATATATATATATATATATATATATGAATTATCTGCATTTGCTATCTAACAGAACAAATAACAAATGCCTTGTTTTTTATATGTGAAAGTATTACGGTCTTGATAAGTTTACCCTTTCAACCGAACAAAGAAAACTTATTTGATGTCACATCGTAGGATGCTAGCCAGGGCCAAGTACAGAAAACTGTATATATATATATATATATATATATATATATATATATATATATATATATATATATATATATATATATATATATATATATATATATATATATATATATATATATATATATATATATATATGCATACACATATATCTACACATACATATGTATGTGTAGATATGAACACACGCACAAACATATGTGTGTGTGTGTGTGTGTGTGTGTGTGTGTGTGTGTGTGTGTGTGTGTGTGTGTGTGTGTGTGTGTGTGGTGTGTGTGTGGTATATATATATATATATATATATATATATATATATATATATATATATATATATATATATATATATATATATATATACATATATATATATACATATACATACATATATATATATATATATATATATATATATATATATATATATATATATATATATATATATATATATGTATATATGCATACACATATATCTACATACATATGTATGTGTAGATATGAACACACGCACAAACATATGTGTGTGTGTGTGTGTGTGTGTGTATGTGTGTGTGTGTATTTGTGTGTGTGTGTTGTATTATATATATATATATATAATATATATATATATATAATATATATATATATATATATATATATATTATATATATTATAATATAATATATATATTTGTATATATCATTTCATAATTGTATTTTTTTATGAGTAATATGTTTTGTAACGTTTGTAACGTTTATGAATATCATTCCAAAACATTACAAATATTGTATGATATTATAGTTTAATGTATAATGAGATGACTTGTGAGTTTAAAAAATATATATAAATTCATAATTCAAGTACCCATGATATCAGTATAGATTGTATATAGGTCTGTTGATAGGAAGTGAATATGTTTAAAATCTGGAATGATACCTTATGTAGATTGAAGAGAAAAACGTAATGTATAATTATATATGTATATATAATATATATATATATATATATATATATATTATATATATTATATATATATATATATATATATATATGATGTAAAATATATTGACTACGATCACCTGATGGAGTCCTTCGTACGACCACCGGGAAGAGAGACGAGCAGGTTTACGACAAGAGCTCGCAAGTACGACCCCGCCAGTCCCAGGTTCTCTCCAATCCGTATCCGGACTTCGAAGAGCAAGACGACCCAGTGTGTTCACTTTAATGTTCACTTATCTGAACATTAAAGATGACGTTAATTTATCTTCCGTTTCGTGCTGTTTCATCTAAACGGCAATCACAGGTTCAAACTAAGACAATATTTACAATTGCAGCATCATTAACTGATAACTTTGACTACTGCAAGAAACGACTAAGAAGAGAATTTATCAATATAACCCAGAATATCAT